CAAAAAAAAAAAAAAAAAAACCTGAAAATTTCCTATTTCTTGCTTTCTAGTCTGGTCATATGTAAGGACTTGTAATTGTCCCTACTTGTCTTGCTTTTCAGTATGGAGCCCCAGATGCAGGTGGACTAGAACATGTTCCTCTGGGCTGGAGTTACTGGTATGCCTTGGTGAGTGATTATTGAAGTTAATGACAATTATATGCAGCCCTACAGATGCAGAATAATTTAGCTCTGACTTTGATATAACTTTATTTGCTTTTACAATTAGTTATTTGAAAACCTTAAAGTATATTGACCTGTGACCAGGTGTAGTGGCTTATGCCTAGAATCCCAACACTTTGGGAGGCAGAGACAGGAGGATCACCTTGAGTTCAGGAGTTCGAGACCAGCCTGGGCAAAATGGTGAGACCCCATCTCAACAGAAAATTTTAAAATTAGCTGGGTGTGGATGTGCACCTCTAGTCCCAGCTACTCAAGAGGCTGAGGTGAGAAGATCACTTGAGCCCAGGAATTCGAGGCTGCAGTAAGCTATGATTGTGCCACTGCATTCCAGTCTGGGCGACAAAGACCCTGTCTCTTTTTTAAAAAAAAAAAAAAAAAAATCTGTTGGCTTATGAGTCGAGTCACTCCTTTCTGGGATGTTTTTCCTGCATCGTACAAAGTTTAGCAAAGTAGTTTGCTTTTCTACCTGATCTACTTCTGGCTTTTAAACTAGAACATATAATTGAAATTGCTAGTCTTTAATAAAAGCCTAGTCAAAAAAATCCAATTCAGTCTTGATGCGAGTAATTATCTTTTTAATGTCTTACCACTGCTTAGAGTATAGTTTAGCACAGCATGGATTCAGACTTCCACTTTGTTCACTAACCTCATAACAAATTTGACTTTCCTCTTTTTAATAGGAAAAAAATTCTAAGTATTATAATTACACCCTCTCTATCAATGGAAAGGCACGGAAGCATGGTGAAAACTATAGTGTGGACTACCTGACAGATGTTTTGGTGAGTTGCAGAAGCCTTGTAGCTCTGTCCTTACAGAGTTGGCTCACATTTGATTGAAGACTCTGCCTAGAAAACCCATAATCTTGTTTGTGTTGGGTAATGTGAATGCACGGTAACTTCGTCTAACTGCTCAAGAGTATTTCCAGCTAATTACAAACTCCTGAGGGTATTTTCTTTGTGTATAAGCCAGGCTCAGATCTAATGCTCTTGAAATTCTAGCAACAAACTCCTTTCCAAAGGTTAATCTCTTTGACTATAGAGATTACTTTGTAGGGGTTTTACTTTGTAAGGGTTCCTACTCTTGACCCCAGTTTTACTCATAAGCTACAAGATGGCAGCCTCACAGGCCCCATTATGAAGGTGGAGGGATAGGGATATTGGATTTATTTGGGCATTGGGTATTTATATATAAAAACTACTGAAAGCAGGTGAAATTGGGACTTTCCTGTTTTGAGGCATGTCTAATAGCAGTCTTCCATAGTATTATATATACATTCACTCAATAGTTCATCACCTAGTATAGCGAGTCTTCAGCACTAAATGAAGCAAAGTCCCTGCTTCTGTGGAAGGTAATTTTATTCACACATGCACACTCTCGCAGTCTTATGCATTGCCTCATTAGATGGTCATCAGTTAGAGAAATAAGTTAGGGTATGAGGTTGCTTAGATAACATTTAAACAGAAACTGGAAGGAGGTGAGAATGAGCTGTATAGATCAGGGGGAAGAGTGCCACAGAGTCAGGGAACAGTAAGTGGGAGGGCCCTGAGGCAGGAGTGTGCCTGGCATATTTGAGAAACCATGAGGAAGCTGATAGGACTGGAGTGAAAGGTGGATGGAGGGACTATAGGAGATAGATATAGTCAGTGTCTTTTGAGTTAGTGTCGGGAGTAAATGAAATTATTTCAGAACAATGAAAAACAACATGTATATAGCATGCTTTAATTTTCATAAAGTATCTCCTGATAAGGAAAGGAAAAATGTAAGTCCATGTAAATTAAAGCCCTAGTGGGATGTATTTGGATCTAATATTATTCACTTAGCTACTTACGTGCATAATTTATGACATCTACTTTATACATATTTTCATAAGGTTAAAGTAACTTAATCTACCTTTCCCACTGTTTTAAGTTGACTCTCCTTTTACATTTTTTAAGGCATCACATGTAGATACCATAATCTCCATTAGTGTAAGTTAGTACTAAAATAGCCGAGTTACTGTTTCCTTCTTTGTGGGAGACATGATTTCCAGGTCATATAAAATCATCAAGACCTTAATTGCCTTCTTATGTTGGTATCCTTCTCAGGTTTTAAAATGTTGCCTAAAAACCAAATATATTTGTTCCAACAATATGCTTGCACATGGCTATAAGATCATGTGCTAAGGTTGATTAAGAGCTAATATGACCCTGTACTGTCTGCTCACTAGGGGACATTTATCTGTTAAATACTCATCTTTTGGGTAAGGTAGGAGATGACAAATCTTTATATGTGTCAGGCTAATGTCTCCCTGGACTTCCTGAACTACAAATCCAACTTTGAGCCCTTCTTCATGATGATCGCCACTCCAGCGCCTCATTCACCTTGGACAGCTGCACCTCAGTACCAGAAGGCTTTCCAGAGCGTCTTTGCACCAAGAAACAAGAACTTCAACATCCATGGAACGGTAGCTTCTCCTAACCCTTGTATTCAGCCATACTCAGTATGATTAGCTGTATGATATACTTACCAGGAAGCCTTTAAGCCATGTAGTGAGTTTTTCTTCACAATCTTTGAAAGGTAATTGTACCTGTCCCTAGTAAAACAGATAGTATAAACTTGCATTGCAAGTACAGGTAAAGTTCCTGCTACCCATCCAGTGAGCAGCCAGAGAGTTGACAGAAATGGTAAAGAATGCCATCTTTCCCAGTTATAGGAGTATATCACTTGGGCTCTCCTGGTAACCTCTGTGTTGGGTCTCCTCCCTCCTGGCATAGCCGGGACTGCACCAGCCTCCTGGTGGCCCTCACTAGCCTTGAGGCATGGGAAGAAGTGGTGGCACAGAGCAATATGGTTGGAAAGGGAAGTTGAATGGAAAAATGAACCAGAGCAGGTGACATGATTAAAAGCCACAACAACTGACATATTTGCCTCATGTGCCAATTACTTATACTTCCCTTGACTTGAGGTATAGGCAGTTCCCTGGTTCAAAGACAGAAGGCCTCTATTGCCTCAGGTCTGTTATCCAGAAATTGTAATTGCTTGTTGTAGAAAGAATGAGTCTTAAACCCAGAACTGCCACTTTCTAACTCAGTTCTGACCATGAGCAAGATGTTTAACTTCATTTTTTTCATCTGAAATGGGAGATCTTGATCCCTCATGGAACTATTTTATGAATTCAAGTACATAGAAACAACTAGCATATTGCCTGGCACATTATAGGCATGTGCTTGTTAAATAAAAATTTTAAAGCTGAGTGAACTGGGTTTTAAATTAGAGGACGATTCTCAATCTGTGTTCCAAAATAAGTTAAAAAGTTCCCGTGGTCAAGTAAGTTTGGAAACTTTGAGTTAAATAAGTCACTCTGCTACAGGACTTCTCAGAGTTATTCATGATTGAATGTAAATTTCTAGCAGGAGGATATGCTATATAGCATTTCTAAAGCTTAATAATTAAAGAACACTTTGAGGAGCATAGTTTGAGATATGGTGGCTTAGAGTTTTACGAATAGAGAAGAGAGAATTAATAGTATATGGGGACGTTTTTGTTTAAGAAATATGGCTCTTAGGCCGGGCGTGGTGGCTCACACCTGTAATCCCAGCACTTTGGGAAGCTGAGGCGGGCAGATCATCTGAGGTCAGGAGTTCGAGACCAGCCTGGCCAATATGGTGAAACCCCATCTCAAAAAAAAAAAAAAAAAAAAAGCCCCTTTTTATTTAAAGGGAAGGACCATCTGGTTAGACTTGAAGTTAGGAAATTGCTGTGAGTAGATTTTTTTAAGGATTTAGGGTGATCGATATCTTGGCTAGGCAAAACTTAGAGGAAGGTAGACCAGGTATGGTGGCTTATGCCTATAATCCCAGCACTTTGGGAGGCCAAGGCAAGAGGATCACTTGAGGCCAGGAGTTTGAGACCAGCCTGGCAAACATGACGAAACCCCATCTCTACTGAAATACAAAAATTAGCCAGGCATGGTGGTACATGCCTGTAATCCCAGCTACTCAGTGGCTGAGGCATGAACATCACGTGAACCGGGAGACAGAGGTTGCAGTGAGCTGAGATCATGCCACGCACTCCAGTTTGGGCTTTAGCTAGAGTGCAGTGGCGCGATCTCAGCTCACTGCAACCTCCAACTCTGCCTCAAAAAAAGCAACTTAGAGGAAGGTAGAGTTATTTGCCCATTTTGTAACTGTAGTAGACCAAAGGCATATGATCAGAGTTGTAAATGTAATCTCGTTTTAGCCAGTAGTTTCCCAGTGACATTCTCTAAAATATCTTTATGCTGCTAACAGAGGAGCTAAGACCTTTTATGGTTTGGGAGGTGCTGGGAAGCTGAAGAACGAGAGATTGAGTTAATCTGCAGAAATTTCTATTTTAGGAACATAGGAGGGGAGGGAAGGTCTGAAGTTGCTTAAACAGGTTCCAGTTAGTTCCTTCTTTCTTAAGTAAGAGTGAAATGATTCTATTTATTATCTACTTGAGCAATCCAGTAGTTTACTGTGGTGACTTGGCGTTAACATTTTTTTTCTTCTAAATTTTAGAACAAGCACTGGTTAATTAGGCAAGCCAAGACTCCAATGACTAATTCTTCAATACAGTTTTTGGATAATGCATTTAGGAAAAGGTAAGAGCTGCCGCTACTTAACAATTTGAGTGGTTTTAAGGACCCTACACATCAGCTCACACAGAGGGGACCATACCACATTGTTGTCTCTGAAACAAAAATGGAGGGAAGCAAGTCAGTGGAAGAGAGGCTTCAGTGGGGCACCAGAAGCAGAGAGATTCCTTTACACTCAAGTGAGTGAGGTGACCTTTGGACCCCAGTACTAATTAGACCATCCATTTTCAGGACTTGGCAAAAATACTGCAAACTTGAACCATGTGGTAGAATTTTTTTCTCCTGGTTTAAAGAAAAGGTCACTTGGTTGAGAAAGCCCATTATCGTCTGTGACAAATGACCCAAAAGCTTAGACAAGATCAAAATATTTGCTTTTGCCATTTGGAATTTTCAAGGAATTCTCTTATGGCAATTTTTAAAAACCCATTACTTAGGAAGTGTTTAGACCAGTGGCAAGCAAACTTTTTCTGTAAAGGGCCAGGTAGTAACTATTAATCACTCACAAGTTGCACATTCTGTCACAACTACTCAGCTCTGCTATTGTAGCACAAAAGCAGCCCTGGATAATATGAAATGAATGAGCGTGGTTGTGATCCAATAAAACTTTATAAAAACAGACAGTGGGCAAGCTGTGGCCCATGAGTCATAGTTTGCCAACTCCTAGTTCAAACATATTAAGCTTTTTTTGTAACACAGGTCTATCTGAATTAATCTGTAGTACAGTACTGAGAATGGACAACTGTCCCTTCTGATTGTCTCTACTCTCATCACCATTGGCAATAAAAAGTAAAGCTAACTGGTTATTTTAAAATGAGTTTATTTATTTGGAAACAATTAACTTTGGAATGAATTATGTTTTGGAATTTTCTAATTTTTTAAACAGGATGTCTTTGGTTTTTTGTTTGTTTGTTTGCTTGTTTTGGCAAGATAGTAATGCCTCAGTCATTGGCCCTGAAGTCCCATTTCTACCTTCTGTTCACATCCAGGTGGCAAACTCTCCTCTCAGTTGATGACCTTGTGGAGAAACTGATCAAGAGATTGGAGTTCACTGGGGAGCTGAACAACACTTACATCTTCTATACCTCAGACAATGGCTATCACACAGGTCAGAGGCAGGGGTAGACACTGCTGTGATCTTTGACAACATGTCTTTCCTTTTTCACCAATCAGCCCTGGCAGGGAGTTCTAGTCTTTCTATAACTGTGGACCTGCCAGAGGGAGAGTCTTGCCCTCAGGACCCCTCCAGTTAGAGCACCACGTCATTCCCACGTGGAGAAACCAGGTTTCATTATTTGCTGTTTCACATGCAAGATGACAATGGTGTTCTAGGAGTGGGAGCAGAGTATGAGCTTGATGGGTTGGAGGCAGGCCATATGGAAGGCATTTACGACAGGAAGACCAAGAGAAGGTTGTCTTGTGACGAAAACTCTATCTTGCCAATCATGGAATTTGTTTTTTGGGAGTTTTTGTTTTTTCAAAATCTGTAGGATGAGTCGGCTCTGTGTCCTTGACTTTCATGCTTTCTACTTGGACATTCTGTTGTTAAAAGCAAACGTTTTGTTTTTTCCACATATGTAAATGTCCACTTGAATTGAGATTCACTTGAGACTTCCTTGCATAGGAGGAGATCACTTAGGCATTTAATACATTATTGTGATTTTTGTTGTTGAGACAGAATCTCGCTCTGTCGCCCAGCCCAGAGTGCAGTGGTGTGATCTTGGCTCACTGCAACCTGTCACCTCCCGGATTCAAGCGATTCTCCTGCTTGAGCCTCCCAAGTAGATGGGGCTACAGGTACACGCCACCAGGCCCAGCTAATTTTTGTATTTTTAGTAGGAATGGGGTTTTGCCATGTTGGCCGCTGGTCTTGAACTCCTGACCTCAGGTAATCTGCCTGCCTCGCCTCCCAAAGTCCTGGGAGTACAGACGTGAGCCACCATGCCCAGCCTATGAATATTTTTAAACACTCAAAGTAGAGAGTAGTAAAATAGCATCTGGCTTAGATTTTCAGCTGCATGTGGCCAGTCTTTTGAATTCTTCCTACTCTCCTTGTGTTTTTCTTTCGTTGCTAGAAGGTTTTGAAGCAACTCCCATACACATGATTCCAGGCTTCAATACCTGATTATGCATTTGACTCTGGTTATTATGTATCAAGATGCAGATGGCTGGCGCGGTGGCTCACTTCTGTATTCCCAGCATTTTTGGAGGCCGAGGCAGGTAGATCACCTGGGGTCAGGAGTTTGAAATCAGCCTGGCCAGCATGACAAAACCCCATCTTACTAAAAATACAAAAATTAGCCTGGCATGATGACATGCATCTGTAGTCCCAGCTACTTGGAAGGCTGAGGCAGGACAATCACTTGAACCCTAGAGGCGGAGGTTGCAGTGAACTGAGATCACACCACTGCACTCCAGCCTGGGTGACAGAGCAAGACTCCATCTCAAAAAAAAAAGATACAGAGAAAGTCCACATACTACCTTTAGTTCTTATGTCGCCTGTCATTTGCCACGAATTTATAGGGAGAAGTGGGTCTTTTGTGCCATCAGCATGTCTCACATTCTGAATTTGGTTAAATGCAGTTTTATAGTGCCATGTTCATCTCTGCTCAGCATTTCCTATAGATTGGTAGTTAGATTAGGGACTTGATAGAAATTCACATTTTCAGGTGACAGTGCATCCTTGCTTGCTGCTGACTTCCTATTGCATCATGTCATGAGGTCCGTGGTGTCTGGTTGCACTGCTTTGGGAGTGCTGGTGTTGATTGATGGATCAGGTGATTTCAGCCTGAGCTGTTTCTATGAGCTTTTCTTTTGTTCCATTGATGATTGTTGCCTAAATCCATTATTTCCTCAGAAATTGCAAAATGTCCATTTTGTAATCCTGTCCTTTCTTTTGTATTTATTAGCTGGAATTCCTCAGGGAAGAATTTCCCCTTATCAATTATTTGGTGATCTTGAGATGCAGTTCATTCAGGAAACACGGGATAGGTGTTTTTGTTCGTTTGACAGTTTTTGGAGTAAACCTCATTCAGTTGTGATGAGGCTAAGTAGCATGCATAAATTTTTATGTATTTCTGTTTCAATACTTTCCTGTCATTATGTTTGCTCATTTTATCCTATCATAAGCCAGGGAGTCCCTTGTAGTCATTTATTTAGGGAAGATGAATTCGTCGTCTTCCTGCCTTGTAGTAACAAGAGACCCAGGCAAATTTCAGCTTTCTATTAAAACACCAGAATCAGAACAAAGTTGTTTTAGTGTTTGCTATGGATTAAATGAGTGAAACATAATATGAGCAAGACTCCTGTCTTGGCTCCACCTTCACCTTGTGTGTTTTGTTTTCAGGACAGTTTTCCTTGCCAATAGACAAGAGACAGCTGTATGAGTTTGATATCAAAGTTCCACTGCTGGTTCGAGGGCCTGGGATCAAACCAAATCAGACAAGCAAGGTAGGTGCCTGACAAGCCGGTGCTGTGGACAGGTAGGTGCTTCCTGAGAAAATAAGGTGTTTCCTACTGAGAGAAGATTGGTTAGGTTCCTCTTCCCACTAGGGCAAAGGCTGAGCAGCAGAAGACCTTTTAAGTGGAAACAATGATTTCTTTTTTTTTCTTTTTTCCCCCTTAACTTGTAACTGTTCTCTATAATCTGTGTTTTCACCCCACATATACATGTCCCATTAGGATGCATAGCTTTTATTTGTCTTTTGAGACTAGATCTTTACTTTGTTCTGAAGCAGTGACTCTGAACAGAAGATATGCATCAAAATCGCCCTCTGAAACTGCAGAAGAAAAATGGTACATGCTTGGGCAATATCCAGAAAGAGTGTGATTGACTCACTTGGTCTAGGGTGACCCAGCATCTGCCTTTTTTCTTTAAGTTTACAGATGATTCTGAGAGGCAGCCTGGTTTGGCACCCACTGCCTTGCAGAGCAGAGCTCCTCAAGCTTTTCTGTGTATGTGAATCCCCTGGGGATCTGGTTAAAATGCAGATTCTGCTTTTCCATTTCTGACCAGCTCCCAGGTGATGTCTGCTGCTGGCCTGACCTCGCTTTTGAATATAAGGCTATCAAAAACATGTATTCTGGGAATTAGTCTTTGCCTGTTCTGGACTCTTCCTTACAAATGCTTTGGTGCTTTCCTGGTTCTCTCTCCTAGAACTGCCATCATATGCCACACTGTTGTTGCTCCCATTTGCTTTCAGTGTCTTTTTCCAAACGTGGTACCTAACGCTGAGGCACTTTGTTCCTAGTGATCGTGAGGACCTTCATCTAAAACACTGTCCTCCAAAACTCAGGAGATAAGAGTTGACAGGCTCTACCAGCTATGTCTTCTCTCCTTCCCGATCTCACAATTTCAGTTTCAGTCCCAGTTCGGTGAGACCAAAGAAGATGAACAAATATACACTTTAAGCTAAAATTAAAAAGCGGATTTTTAAATGGGCCAGACTTTCTGGGTATATTGGGTACTTTAGTTTCATTTTGGAGCTTAATGTTTACTTGTTTAAACATCTGTTTTTCACTTATTTCCTTTTACAATTAAAATTCTCTGGGAAGGGTGAAATGGCCTTCGTAATTACCTTTTGTGTTTTTCTCTTAAGACCCACGTTCCCTAGCTAGTCACTTTTCCCACGAATTTCAGTGCCTTCTAAACGGGCTTCCTCTTTCAAAGGAGATATGCAAGTTTGGAAGACCATTAAATCTTAAAAGTGTTTTCTTGAGGTTGGTGTTTGGAACTGATTGAGGAGAACATGTCAGCAGCTATGTTCTGTTTTTAGGAGCAGGGCTCCCCCAGCCCACATATAACCAGCATAGGGAAGGATGCTAAATGAGATCATAATGAAATGTGTTGACCAGCTGCCTGTGGAAAAATGGTTCCTTTTTTCCTTTAATATTGCTATTTAAATGTTAAAAATCAGAAACTTCACCTTCTCTAAGCAATCTAAATGAAGTCTGGTTCCTAGGAAGCCATTTGAACAATATGACTAACATTTATTAAGTGTTTAGTATGTGACAGGTGCTATTCTACGTGTATTACCTGAATCAGCTCACTCAATCCTCACAGTTTATGAGATAGAGGTACTGTTACCCTATTTTGCAGTTGAGGAAACTGAAGCAGAAAAGATGATCACATAGTTAAAAAGTAGCAGAGCCCTGCATTTGAACTGGGGCAGTCTGGCTCCAAAGTCTGTATACTTACCATTATATTATAGCTCAGTCAACAAGTATTACCTTCTTTGCCAGCACAGTACACCAAGGAGCCTTGCATATGGCAAGGAGCAAGCAAACAAGATCAGTTCTTAAATCCCTGTGTCAGGGAGCACCAGATACTTAAGCTACAATGGTCAGTGAAAGCCTCTGAGGCATTTGAGCAGACAGGGATATTGAGAAGGATTTAGCCATGCAGAGATCCGTGGGAAGAGCGTCCTGAGCAGGACGGTAAATGCGAAGGCCCAGATGTAGGGATAAGCTAGGCTTGTTCAACAGTTGGAAGGTAGCGGTTGTACTGAATTCCTTGTCCTTCCTAAGTGCACCTTCTCTCTCACCTCCTGGCCTTTGAGGTTGGTGTTTGGAACTGATCAAGGAGACTGTGTCAGCAGACTGCTCCTTCTTTCTGGAATGCCCATCTCGTACCCCCTTCAGCTGGCCAACTTAATTGTCCTTTAGGGCTTTGGTTTAGGGCTCCCTCCGGGAAGTCACTTCATACTGCTGCTCCCACATGGGGTCGATGTCCTTATTATATGTTCCCAGCTCGCCTCACACTTGTCACACCCTATTGAGTTTGTCTTTTTTAGTCTAGGGTGTCCTAGAAAAGAGGAACTATCTAAACTTAAAAGCCCCTAGCGTACACTGGGGAACATCCACGTTGGTTGAATGGATTTTGCCAAGGTTGCAAAGTGGCAGAACAGGGACTGAAAAGTTAAGTCTGTGCATTCTCAGAATCCATGTTGGTTTTGTTTTGTTTTGTTTTTTTGAAACGGAGTCTCTCTGTCACCCAAACTGGAGTGCAGTGGTGTGATCTCAGCTCACTGCAACCTCTGCCTCCCCAGTTCAAGCAATTCTCCTGCCTCAGCTTCCTGAGTAGCTGGGACTACAGGCACGCCACCATGCCCAGCTAACTTTTGTATTTTTAGTAAAGATGGGGTTTCACTATGTTGGCCAGGATGGTCTTGATCTCTTGACCTCATGATCCGCCCGCCTCGGCCTCCCAAAGTGCTGGGATTACGGGAGTGAGCCACCAGCCCCAGCAGGAATCCATATGTTTTTACATTGCTGCATTGACAGATGTAATTTGAGAAGCATGAAATGCCCCAGCCTTCCCCTAGCACAAAGAATGTCAGAGACGATGGGTGATGCATCATGTGTTGGCAGCTCAGTTGTCTCAGTGCCAGCCATTCTGTGTGAGTGACACAGGGTTGTGAGTTGGGCATAATGAGCTGAGCTGAGCTGTCAACAGCCTTGACAGCCGCATCAGTGCACATTTAACTGACTGGCAGACTTAGCTGTGTGTTGGCTGTGTGGGAGAACTGGGGCAAGGTCTTATGTGTAGATGCCAAAGATTGGCTATTGACATTTTTCTCCTCTGACTAGTCTAGCTTTAGATTTGGTGGTAGGAGTTCTGCAAAAGGAATTATAGAAAGGAAAAGGTTAGTAGGAAAACTAAAATGATACAGCATGGTCCCAGGGAAATAGAACTGAACTGGGAGTCAGGAAGACCACCTATTGGCTTTGAACAAAATAAGCCTTCGTTCCCCTAGTTTTGTGAAAGTAAGAGGATGTTAAGCCTCCATTTTCGGATGGGACCAGGTGATGCCCCAGCTTCTTCCTTATCAGGAAAGCTGGCACTGAGGAGCAAGTGCAGCTGAAGCAACCAAAATGTGAGGATTCTGAACTTTCTCATGCAGTTACAGTGCTTTTCACTAAATGGATTTGGGGTGCTTTCTGGTGTGCTTGGAGCCTTTTTGATAACCCTGGAGAGATTCAACATCAGGGTTTGGGTGTCAGTTTGGAAACCTGATGTGTTCTGACAGCCCATTGCCATCTTGTTCTTTTCAGTAATTATGCAACAGTGTCATTCTTTCAGAGCAAAAATAAGCAGGTTCAATGCTTAATTCAACACCCCTTGAATTAAGCCCCAGGAATTTTTTTGTTTTTGTATTTTGAGACAGGGTCTCAATCTGTCACTTAGGCTGGAATGTAGTAGCACAAGCTTGGCTCACTGCATCCTCCGCCTCCTCAGGTGATCCTTCTACCTCAGCCTCCCGAGTAGCTGGGACCATAGGTACATACCACCATGCCCAGCTAATTTTTGTTTTGTTTGTAGAGATGCAGTTTTACTATGTTGCCCAGGCTGGTCTGGAACACCTGGGCTCAAGCAGTCAACCCTCCTCGCCTCGTTACAGGCATGAACTACCATGGCCAGTCTACCCCAGGGTTTTCTAGGGACTTTCATTTGATTAGGATATTTATGTACTTAAATCCTAAGAACATTCTCAACCTGAGGGAGTGTGATTTATGAAATAATTTATCATTTTGGCTGGGCACGGTGGCTCATGCCTGTAATCCTAGCAGTTTGTGAGGCCAAGGCAGGTGGATCACCTGAGGCCAAGAGTTTGAAACCAGCCTGGCCAACATGGTGAAACCTCATCTCTACTAAAAATACAAAAATAAATAGGTCATGGTGGTAGGCACCTGTAATCCCAACTACTTGGGAAGCTGAGGCAAGAGAATCACTTGAACCCCGGAGGCAGAGGTTGCAGTGAGCCGAGATCACACCATTGCACTCCAGCCTGGGCAAAAGAGCAAAAAAATGTGTCTCAAAAAAAAAAATTATTTTTGGTCTTGTCAAAGCTTTTTCTCCTCCAATCCATAAATGAAGTTTTTGTTTTTTTGAGATAGGCACTCTGTCACCCAGGTTGGAATATGGTGGCTCAAACATGGCTCACTGCAGCTTGGCCTCCTGAGCTCAAGTGATCCTCCTGCCTTGGCCTCCCAAAGTGTGGGGATTATCAGCAAGAGCCAGTGTGCCTGGCCCATAAATGAATTTTTAAGTTTACACTAGACAAAAGCAATACCCTGAAACTAATGTTTCTCAAACTCATCACAGTGATGGGTGAATCCATTCAGATTATTGATTATATAAAAACCAGAGGTAGGTATAATTCTTTTTAACTCTTCATTCTTACTTGGCATTCACTAGAAATCTCCCATCTCCTGATACAGTATGCTAATTTTGAGACTGTCTGCTTATTCAAGTAAAATTCTAGAAGAGGAGAGAATTTATCCATTATATTTAAGGGGGTGTGATAATTATAGATTTCTAGGGAGAAAGAGTCCTGGAATGATGTGTGCTTATGGTACTTGTGTTGAATCTTAGTGACTTTGCAGTTATACTAGAACTTATTCCTTTCTCTCGAGGGAGCAAAATGCCATTAGAAGAGCCTCGACTGGGTGCAGTGGCTCATGCCTATAATCCCAGCACTTTGGGGAGGCCAAGGCAGGTGAATCACTTGAGTTCAGAAGTTTGAGACCAGCCAGGACCAAGGCAGAAACTCCATCTCTACTAAAAATAAAAAAATGGAAAAATTAGCTGGGCATCATGATATACACCTGTAGTCCCTGCTGCTCGGGATGCTGGGGCAGGAGGATCAGTTGAGTCTGGGAGGTCAAGGCTGCAGTGAGCTATGATTTTGCCACTGCGCTCCAGCTTGGGTGACAGGATGAGCCCCTATCTCAAAAACAACAAAACAGGCCAGGTGCGGTGGCTCATACCTGTAATCCCAGCACTTTGGGAGTCCAGGGTGGGCAGATCACCTCAGGTCAGGAGTTCAAGACCAGCCTGACTAACATGGAGAAACCCCATCTCTAAAAATACAAAAATTAGCCAGGTGTGGCGCATGCCTGTAATCCCAGCTACTTGGGAGGCTGAGGCAGAAGAATTGCTTGAACCCAGGAGGCGAAGGTTGCAGTGAGCCAAGATGGTGCCACAGCACTCCAGCATGAGGACAGAGCGAGACTCTGTCTCAAAAAAAAAAAAAAAATTAGCCAGGTGTGGTGGCACATGCCTGTAATCCCTTGAACCCGGGAGGCAGAGGTTGCAGTGAGCCAAAATCACACCATTGCACCCCAGCCTGGACAACAAGAGCAAAACTCCATTTCAAAAAAAGCCACAACAAAACAAAAAGAGTTTCCCCCAACTCCAAAAAAAAGAGTAAGCCTCCGGTTATACAGGTAGTGGATGCTGCAATTTTTGGTGAGATAGCAGTCACGATTTTATGTCTCTGGGTTTTTTGATGTTTTCTCTTTTCTTTTAAAAGTGCCTTGGACATCATAGTAGTATCCGAGGAATTGGCTTCACCTCATTCATGGTACAGGCATCACTGAAGATCTGTTAGTGACACTTCAGGGTCTATGGATGTCTTGTTGTCTTGATCTAATTCTGGAGATGGTGTCTCCCTTTGACCTTCCTTTCCTGCTGTGATCTCTTCCATATTGACACTTAGACCTGATGACTGTTTTCCAAGCTGCTCAATTTGCCTGGGGGACTTGAAACCAGGAAAGTTATCTGTAACAGTGGGTCATGTATCATCCCAGGAGACATGGTTTTTGTATGTGAGGTTTTTCCCCTCTTCAGTAACATATGGATTGCCTTTCTCCTAAAGTGTCTGCCTCTGAGTGGTAATTCCTGACAGCTGCAGAGTTAGACTAATTGATTGAGAGCCAGGAAATTATTTATCACTCTGCCCTCCAGGAGCTGTCCTGGCCATCAGGAAACCTGGCGCCTGATAATCATATTCTGAAGATTTTTTTTTTTTTTTTTTTGCCTTTCCTGTCTGTACTTTTGGTTTTGTTTTTAAATTAAAAGTGGCAGGGTTGGGGTGCTTTGTTTTGTTTGATCTCTCTGTTTGACCTCTCCTAAAATGATCTAAGTTTTCTCATCAGTTTTAAAGACTGTTATTTCCTGTCAGTAACTGATGGCTTTTCCAGTTATACGCTGTTAACTGCTCCAGTGACTTCTTGTGTTTCATTTCTTTGTGTATAAAATGGGGGAAACACTGTGTTTGAGGACTGTGTTAAGGAATAAATGAGAGTAAACATCACATGCTTAGCACAGTACATTTCCCAGTTTTTCTCACTTCTTGTTTGTTACCCCAGTGGGTGGTTTCACCACTTGAAGATTTTTCTAGCCTGTGACCAGGTGACTTCTATGCTTGAGTTCTGTGTAGGCCTGCAGTGTCCACTTGTGGCTGTTGAGCACTTGAAAGGTGGATAGTCCAAACTGAGATATATTATTATTGTGAAACACCAGATTTCAAAGACTTGGTTCACAAAAAGTTAAATCTCATTTTTAAAAATATTGTTTACATATTGAAATATTTAGATATTTTTATATGAGGTTAAATAAAATATATAAAATTTTACCTGTGTTATTTTAATGTGGTTATTGGACAATTTTTAATTACATTTAGGGTCCCCTTTATATTTCTATTAGGCTACTCTGGATTAGGGCCTGTAGAGGCATTGTTTACAAAAGGAAAACAGTCTGATAACCAAGGAAATAAGGCATAAATACAGGACAATGCCTTTAGTTTCTGGAATGTTTAAAAACATCTAAGTTTTATGCCATTAAAAAAACTTTTATTGCTACATTGTTGGAATAAATAAATTCCAAAAAATAAAAAATTTTCTGCAGCCTTCACAGCCTGTTGCAAACATATTTTGGCAATGTTGTCCCTTTGAGAAGCTATAAAAAGAGCTGATAATTCTCATTGGTGGCAAGCATTCCATTTTTGAGGCCTTCCAAAATGTCTGGAGTTCATTTGAAGTCAAATTTAATCTGAATAATCAAGTTGTAAGATGCTTTGTGTAAAATAATTGGACCAACTTTTTTTCATGAGTCACAACAAACTCAAAGCAATTGCAGAGGAGTTTTTAAAAAACGTTTTTCTCAATAACAGAATGGGTAGAATAAATACGTAACTTCCCAGGGGGATATACTATTATACACACCTTATAAGCCTTTATGTTTTAAGTTATTGTAGTTATAGTTGAACATATGAAACAGTAAGACTAAAGTAAGCATGGGCTGTATAAAAGGTAATAGTAAGTATAAAAGGTGATGGTAAGTGCCGTTGTCTCATGGGTGGGGTGCAGGGGGAAGAGAACTTTAGTATAGGTAGAAAAGGAAAATGAGACCAGTTGTGTTCTAGATTGTTTTTCCTTCATTCTCATAGATGCTGGTTGCCAACATTGACTTGGGTCCTACTATTTTGGACATTGCTGGCTACGACCTAAATAAGACACAGATGGATGGGATGTCTTTATTGCCCATTTTGGTAAGTATAAAGCCCTCAACCAGGCCTGAGCCAAGACCACAATAAATTCTGGATTGTGTAAAGACTTAAAAATTTAAATATTAAATAATGCTATTAAATTTGGGAAGCAGAAAATCTTGTGGTGGGAAGGAGTTTTCTAAAAGAAAAAAAGTAGACCACATGTGAAATTGAGAGCTGTTTCCTTTTGCTCTCCTCTAAGAACACCCACCGTAAAGAAAGTGGTGACAGTTTGGGAACACATTTGCATCATTGTAAAAAAGAGTCATTAGTCCAAATACATGAGTTCTTAGCAAGGTTAATATCCCAGTGGGAAAATGGGCAAAAGAAAAAGTGGCTAATCAACTCACAGAAGAATTAAAAATGGCTAAAACAAATGCAAAAGGATTACTTCAGTGCTAATCACAGAAATGCTTAACTGAAGGAGACCTTTTTCATCTGTAAACTGGGAACGATTTTTTAAATACCCAGTATTTCAGAAGTCTGAGAATTTGGAAACTGTTCATATACTTTTCACACAAGTGTAATCAGTTTAACCTATCAGGAAGCTGGTTTAACAAGACGTACCACTTCAGAGTACACAGATCAAAAACAGACAAATTAACTTTTGCTTGTCTGGTGACTGAAAATGGCATTTGGTCTTACTGTGCATCTGTTAATAACATGAATTATTTTTTAACGACTTAATTCCCATACGATCCAATTCACTCATTTAAAGTGTCCGATGGGCGTGATGGCTCATGCCTATAATCCCAGCACTTTGGGAGGCCAAGGTGGGTGGATTACCTGAGGTCAGGAGTTTGAGACCAGCCTGGCCAACATGGTAAACCCCTGTCTCTACTAAAAATACAAAAAACTGGTTGGGTATGGTGGCAGGCACCTGTACTCCCAGCTACTCAGGAGGCTGAGGCAGGAGAATCACTTGAACCTGGGAGATGGAGGTTGCAGTGAGCTGAGATAGCACCATTTCACTCCAGCCTGGGCAACAAGAGTGAGAAACTCCATCTCAAAATAAATAAATAAATTTTTTTTTTAATGTCCAGTTGTTGGTATATTTAGAGTTGTACAACCATCACCATAATCTAAGAGCATTTTTATCACCCTAAACCCCCAAACACATTAGTCACTGTAATAGAAGAAAACCGAAAACCCAAATTATCTAGTAGAGAATTGATTAAATTGTGGTGCAGGGAATTGATTAGATCTGTTGCTCCCATTCCCACTACAAATCTATATTATGTTTGTATAGAGTTGTCTGTTCTGAACTTTTCACATAAATTACATAATATGTGGCCTCTGGTTTTTTCACTGAGCATAATGTTTTCAAGGATCATCTCCATTGAAACGTGTATCAGTACCTTGTTTTAGTGCCAGATAACATTCTGTGTGTGAATATATCACATTTTATTTAGCCATTCAGATATTTGGGCTGTTTCCACTTTTTGGCTGTTATGAATAATGCAACTGTAATGTTTTTGAGATAGGGTCTTGCTCTGTTGCGCAGGCTGGAGTGCGGCGTTGGCCATCACAGCTCACTGCAGCCTCAGTCTCCCAGGTTCAGGGGATCCTCCCACCTCATCCTCCCTAGTATAGCTGGAGCTACAGTCGCCAGCCACCACGTCTGGCTAATTTTTTTTTTTTTTTTTTAATTTTTAGTACAAGTGAGGTTTCCCTGCATTGCTCAGCCTGATCTCGAACTCCTGGTCTCAGATCCTCCCTTGTTATCCAAGAAGATTTTTAAGAAAAAAATCCTCCTGCCTTAGCCTCCTGAAGTGCTGGGATTATGGGCATGAACCAACACTTTCTATCATCTATCTTTGTGATTATTTTATTTTAGTAGGTGTGAAGTGGTATCTCATTGTGATTTTGATTTGTATTTCCCTGCTGACTGTTTAGCATTTCATCATGCGTTTGTCAGCCATTTGTGTATCTTCTTTGAAGATGTGTTTATATTGGGATCCTTCGCCCAGTTTTTTTTGTGTGTTGTTCAGGGAATCACTTTTCATTTATACCCTTTTGTTTCTTCTCTTGAGAAATGCCTCTGCATTTTTGCCTATGATAGTCTCCTTATTTATGACTTGTCTTTTCCATATATTAAGATATGGGAACCAGGTGCAATGGCTCATGCCTGTAATCCCAGCAATTTAGGAGGCTAAGGCAGGCAGATCTCTTGAGTCCAAGATTTCAAGACCAGCCTATGCAACATGGCAAGACCCAGTCTCTACAAAAAATACAGAAAATTAGCCAGGCATGATGGTGTGCATCTGTAGTCCCAACTACTTGGAAGGCTGAGGTAGGAGGATTGCTTGAGCCAAAGAGGTGGAGGTTGTAGTGAGCAGAGATTGTACCACTGCACTCCAGGAATCGAATGTATATATTGTTTCTTTTAACAGTTAGCGTCTTTCGTATGTTTATAAAGATGCTTCTAAACTTTGAAGCCAGAAAACTGTTCTCCCATATTTTCTTCTAAAGGTTTTATAGCTCTGCCTCCTATACCCAAGTCCTTGATGAATCTGTCTATCTCTGTACCAGTATCATTTTGTCTTATAAAGCTGTGTAACTAAATCTTTATTAGCATGGGTACACCTCTCCGCTAATTGTTCTGGTGGGGATCCTAGCCCCTGTCTTCACATAAACTTTAGAATCAGCTTTGCAGATTACCTGAGAAATGCTGGCTTTTGATTGGAATTGCATTTAACCTATAGATCATTTATGGGAAACTTTACATCTTTTAACTTTCTTCATACGAGTCTTATACTGTGTACCTTATTAAGTTTCTAATTAGAAAAAAAAAACTTGATTCACTTTAGGGGTAAAAATCATTATGTTGTCTATAATTTCTCTGCACAGTTCTTGAAGTGCCACTTGAGACTTGATTCTTTTCCTCATTCATGTTTTGTTTCTAGAGGTTATTCTGATGAAATACTGATATATTGGAACAGTTAAATAGCCATGTGTGGCTATTTATGTGAATTAACTAAAAATGAAATTCAGTTCTTCAGTTGCACTAGCTGCACATCTTGTGCTCAGTGGCCACCATATTGAACAGCAAAGATAGGGAACATTTTAACCAGAAAGTTCTGCTGGACTAGCAGTTGGCAGACTACAACCTGTGGGCCAAATCTAGCCCACCCCCTGTCTTTGTAAATAAAGTTATATCAGAACATAGCCACACTTAATGTATTGTTGATGGCTGTTTCCTGCTACCTGAGTAGATGTGACAGAGCCAGGAGCCTAAGTATTTACTCTGTGGCCTTTTACAAAAAAAAGTTTAAGGACCCCTACAGACCATGCGTCTCAAACTTGGTCAGACATGAGAATCACTTGGAAACTAAAATACTAATGCCTGGGCCTCACCCCTGGAGATTCTGATTTAATTGGCATGAGATAGAATCCCTTGGGATTTTTCAAGTTTCCCTGGAACTTCAAAAATCCCAAAGTTCAGGAACCACTGATCTATACTTCTCAGATGCTCTTTTCTCCTCTGGACACTTTGACATTCAAGTGTGGGATTTTGAAGTTCACTCAATTCTGACAGTTCACTCGATTCCATTTTCCAGCTTCCAGCTTCTGTGGCTCAGGTTTGGCACCAGGAGCCTTTTTTTTTTTTTTTTTCCTGAGACAGTCTTACTTTGTCGCACAGGCTGAAGTGCAGTGGTGCAATCTCGGCTCACCACAACCTCTGCCGCCTGAGTTCAAGCAATTCTGCCTCAACCTCCCAAGTAGCTGGGACCACAGGCGCATGCCACCATGCCTGGCTAGTTTTTTGGTATTTTTTAGTGGAGATATGGGGTTTCACCACATTGGCCAGGCTGGTCTCAACCCCCTAACCTCAGGTGAGCTGCAGCGCCAAGCCAGCATGAGCTTTTGAAGTCTCCAATGACTCATGATTTCTGAGATCCTGAGCTGCACAGGATTGTTCCTAATAAGTTAGGAAATAATTCCTATCTCACCCATTCCCCACCATACTCACCAGGTTAAGCATTCTTTAGAACAGTGATTCTCAAATAGGCATTCCCCAGAAATGCCTGTGGGATGTGCTGAAACCCAGGTTGCTGTCTACCTATGTTAGGAATTAAGAATTTGCATTTGGAAAAAGTTTTCAGGTGATGCTGCTTGTCCTGGGAGCCACACTTTTAAGAACCACTTTTTTTAGAGCAGTGCTGTTCAGAGGTCTTACTAAAATGCAGGCTTTGGCTTGTGAGAGCTAGAGTAGGACCTGAGATTCTGCATTTCAAACAAGCTCCCAACCAGACTTTGACCATTTTAAGAGCACCTTCTAACCTGGTCTTCCTGTCTTTCTATATCTCCATTCCCTCTCTGGATTCTGCTACGAGGCTGACTTTTCTAAATCACTGCCTTGATTGTGTTACCTCCCTGTTCAAAAACCTCCTATTATTTCTCATCACCTGCTGTTCTTTATAGGACAGGCCCAGGCAGCATGATATTTGGGGCCTTTTCCCGTGTGGTGCCAGCCTGCCTCTCCACCCTGTTACCTTGTCTGAAAGCTGGGTTTCAGGAAGCCACACTACTAAGTGGTCTGTGTTCAACCTATGTTCATGCTCTTTAATCTAAAGCTTGCTCCTATTCTTAGATTCTTTCTCCTTTCACCATTTGTGTCTCTCTTAAACTTGCTGCTTTCAAATGCTGCCACTTCTTTCCTTCCACACCATGAATGTACATTGAAGAGTGAGTTAATGTACTGTACCTGCATTCTGACCATCAAGAGGTGCTTTGAATCTGTTAACAGTCCTTAGCACACAGGTCTATTGAATATTTGTTTCTTTATTGTCCTTGTGTCTATTAGGTTATACATTCCTTAGTATGAGCATAAAACAGTTCTTAAATGGAGCATATGACAGTATTATGTGTTCTAGTCTGGACTTTTCAGCAACTTGCCCTGTGACTTTGATTCTTGCTTAGCAACCTTGTCAGGTTCCATTCCTGACCTGATTCACAGAAGTACCCTTGGAAAGGAACTATTAAATGTTCAAAGTATTTGACCATCATTTGTAAAGGCCCTTAAGTACCAAACATACAATTCAGTAGCTTTCATATGCACCTGTTTTAGTCATTCCCTTTAGTTACTGAATGAACAGTCTAGTTACTTTTGACTCCCAAGTCCCCTTCAGCAGTCAATTACTTTGTGATCTTTGTCATAGTCTATGTGCCTCACAAACTCTGTTTGCTCTTCTTTCTAGAGAGGTGCCAGTAACTTGACCTGGCGATCAGATGTCCTGGTGGAATACCAAGGAGAAGGCCGTAACGTCACTGACCCAACATGCCCTTCTCTGAGTCCTGGCGTATCTGTGAGTAATGGCTTGAATCGACTTACGAACCTTTCTCACAACACGGCAAGGTGCTGGTTTCGATCTGTCAAGTAGTAAAACCTTTCATTTGACTCCTGTTCCTTTGTCACTTGACTGTGGGTGGTTAGCAGATGGACAAAAGAAAATCCAGTGATCTTGGAAATGATGCTGCCAACCTGTCATCAGAATGTGCACTGTTAATTCTTCCAATTTATGTAACAAGTGCATGTATCCACCCATGTTCTTACCTTATCAATTCCTTCAATTCCTTTTCTCTGTTTTTCTACCCCTCCCAATAACTACCACTTTTTAAAATTAGGGATATTACTGGGGCATGCAGTAGAAAGATGTGGTTCCTGCCTGTAACCATGCTATTGTGAGTGTCTTGCATTGTTGGCAGCCGGGCAGATCGCAGAGAGGGTAACAGCCATGTTGGCCTCACTTTGGAGAAGGGAAAATAGGCTTCCATTTGGAGTTGATTGATTCTTCTAACACCAAAGTGTTACAGTATAATAACCAACCAAAAGTGCAATAACAGATCATATTATAGACATAAGTTAGATTTAAGTCGTACTTGGTGATAAGAACACTCAAATAACTTACCTGCATATGATTCCGCAAAGCTCATTTTAATCTTTTCCTCCAACTTTTTAGGGTGACAGTTCCTAGTCATTCTTAGAAATGAGTCATTTGAGTTGATTTCTTCTCCTTGCCAACCCATACCTTTTATAGGTGCTCATTATAAGTAATTCTTGTCAGGAGTTTAGCAGACAAGGATGGCAACAATCTACAAATGGAACAACCCATATACCTTGATCAAGTTAGCCAAAGGAACAATGCCTCACATCTATGTTTGAGTTATTGGCTTCTCCATGGAAGGTTTTCTGATTACTGCTAAATTGCATGTCTGGCATGAGCCAAGCTGATGGTTTTTCTAGGCAACTAGGTATTTGTTACTGTGAAAGAACTGTCTTCATTTAACTTTTAAAATATCCCTACAGCAATGTTTCCCAGACTGCATATGTGAAGATGCTTATAACAACACCTATGCCTGTGTGAGGACAATGTCAGCATTGTGGAATTTGCAGTATTGTGAGTTTGATGACCAGGAGGTAAGAGGGATTTCTGCCTGCACTTACCCACTCCTTTCTTGCTTGTGCTTTGTTGGCTGGACTTGGTGGCAGAAGAGCAGTGCCAAGGCCGCTCCGTAGGGAAGAGGTTGTGTTTCTCATTTGTGCTTCACTTTATTTAGGTTTCCTTCACTTGTAAGGCCATGTCTCACTTCTCTAACTGTAATCCTTCTGAATGGGGTTTTCTCCACTCCCACCACTACCCAAATTCACAGTTTAAATGCACAGTTTGTTTTCAGAATGATACATGCTTTGTCTGTTAACTTCCCTGGTAGTTTGAGGTGAAAGTGAAATACCTCAACTTCACTTGAGTTGGAGCGTTTCCTAGAAAGCTTACCAGCAACTGGTGTATTCAGAAACTCCTGTTCCCACCACAGCATAATCCAGTGCTGCTCTAATAGATTAGAGTGGGGGTTAGAGGCACAGGAGTCCATCCATGGAAGAAGGTGGTTTTTAGCCTACACAGGTTGGTTCCTATGGATTATCTGAAGGATCCCATGGACTCTAGTCCCCTGTGGTTTCTTACTGTTTATCAGCATATGCACACCTGCCCCACCTGGCAACCTTCATATGACCATCTAGAGCAGATGCCCATCTGTGTTTCTCAGAAATGGACTCATTCTCCACTCCATTTGCAACTTATAAGCACTTTGGACAATAAGCAAGAAACTTCCCTCAAACTCTGTCTGTTTCCCGCTCCCACATGATGTTTATCAGTTTGATAACTACTTTATAAGTAGTTTTAAGTGTGAGGGCAGCTGCCTGAAGCCATTATAGGCAAAATTACCTACCATCTTTCTAGCCTAACATTTGACTCCAGTTTGGAGAACAGCATACAGATTATAGAGGGAAACGTTCAACCTCTCTTATGTTAGAAATGATAATTAGTACTGTATCCTTCCCCAGTATATCCACAGCTACTTTTTAAATAGGAAAACTTAACATTTGTATAACACAGGCAAGTACTTTCATATCCATTCTCATTTGAAGTTTACAATTCTGTGGCAAAAATCACCTTTGAATGTTTGCTCTCACTTTAGTAACTCTATTACCAAGTCTTGTTTCTGAGACCTTGCCATGGCAGGTTCCTGCCTTCGGTTCTGTTTTAATTGCAGAAGATAATGTATTCCCCCCCCATCCCCCTCTTGCCTCTGCCTGAAGGTACAGGCTGTGCAGGGGCCCCTTTTTAGCATGTGGCTGGAGACCCCAAACAGCTGAACCTCCAGAACAGATGTTTCCTCGTCTCAAGGAAACAGTGAGCTCTTTGAGGATATTGAGAGCAGATTGGGTCTCCAGGGCCATAGTTTTTTTTATCTTCCTCTTCCCTTCCCATTTAGAAATAAGTCACATTAAGAGTATTTCTCACATCTAACCCTTGCTCTTTTATTTCCTCCATGCTTTCATTTCTTCTAGGTGTTTGTAGAAGTCTATAATCTGACTGCAGACCCTGACCAAATCACTAACATTGCTAAAAATATAGACCCAGAGCTTTTAGGAAAGATGAACTATCGGTTAATGATGCTACAGTCCTGTTCTGGACCAACCTGTCGCACTCCAGGGGTTTTTGACCCCGGGTAAGTTTCCTTTCTCTTCATTTACTTGGCCAAGATTTTTTCTATTAGTCATGCTGTTCTTGAAAACAAAGGGAGCCCTTTTTGCTGTGAGATGATGATGATTCTTGTGCTTTAGAGGAATACTGTGTTCTTAGTGCATCAGCCTGTTGCGCTGGGAAAATGAGCTTTGGAAACTTTTGCTCTCCACTGCCAGTTGCTGCTTTAGCCAGTGGTACAGCCTTGCTCCCCACCAAATTTGGGGCTCTTCTTTTCCTGCTATGATTATTGTCATGGTACCACTTGATTGCACTGGTGACATTTGGAGCTTCTTTAAGCTGCGATTCTCTACTGCTGTTCCCTAGAGCTTCCAAGAGTATATGCCTTCATTTCATTCCTCAGAAACCCCTATTACAGAAACTTGAATGTTTGCTAAATGTATTAAACACACAATGAAAACAGAAGGTGTAAAGTCACATGTTGAAATATATAAGCCCACTGCAGGATATGGAGGTATAAAAGATGTTTTAGCTACCACCTGCTAAGTCAGATTTGTTCCCCACACTATCCCTCTTAGTAACTTCTCAGCATTAACTCTGGATGTCAGTATACCAGGTATTTGAGCTGCCGGTGGCAGGAAGCTTGTCATTTATTTTTTTCTTGAAGGTCATGAAATTTAAAAATCAAACTTTTTTTTTTTTTTTTTTTTTTTTTTTGAGACGGAGTTTCACTCTCGTTACGCAGGCTGGAGTGCAATGGCGCAGTCTCGGCTCACCGGAGCCTCTGCCTCCTGGGTTCAGGCAATTCTCCTGCCTCAGCCTCCTGAGTAGCTGGGATTACAGGCACGCGCCACCATGCCCAGCTGATTTTTTGTATTTTTAGTAGAGACGGGGTTTCACCATGTTGACCAGGATGGTCTCGATCTCTTGACCTTGTGATCCACCCGCCTTGGCCTCCCAAAGTGCTGGGATTACAGGCGTGAGCCACCGCGCCCGGCCCTAAAAATCAAACTTTCAATGGGAAAGGAGTGTTTTAGTTCTTATATTCAGACTGTAGGAGAGGGAGGAATTATGTCCTAAGTTGATGTAAAGTTATCACTTAATTTTTATCTTTGTGTTAATCTTTAGTCCAAATTAGAGACAGATGAATGTGAATGAGTAGAAAAACTCGATTATAGACTATTCATTGTTTGCTTTTAAATAATGTACATAGAGCCAAAGTGACATAGATACCAGTAAAGTAAGACCAGATAATATAAAAACATATTTATCATTGTATCACTTAAATGAAATAACTGTTTTTATATGGATAATCCCATTAGTACAATACAAATGGTCAAGGATTTTGACCACCTTGATCTTTCCTCTAAGTTAGTGAAATAGATCTTAGCTTAGTACCAGTTACCTGAAATAGGAAGTTGATTCCCTAAAATAAAAGCACAAGACTTCCAGTTTCCATGTGCTGACTTCGCAATTTCCAGCAGTTACTTAGCTCAGAATGTTCTTTTAAACCATATTAAGTTAGATGTCTACAGCAGTGAATGCTTTTTAACCATATACTCTTTGGCTGACTCTGGGAACTTAAAGCCAACATCTGACTAAATTTTAAATGGAGGGTCAAGGGACTGGATCTCTTGGATGATGATATGTGGCCAAATAGTCCCTAACCATCCCACTGCTAGGACATGGACTTGCCAGGCTGGCATCTGGTTGGCCAGTACAAGGTAAATGTAGCCAGTTGTCTGTTTCTTCTGAACATCTGGCTCTAAGTATTAGAATTCATTCAATTTCCATACAGCCCTTAGAGCCCAAACAGGTAAATTTCAAATGAGGAAACTGAGCTTGGAGTTGTGATTTGCCCAAGGGCTGCCCTATAAGGAACTGAATACATTGTCTATTTCCTAAGCAAGTTTTGTGTGGTTTTTAACTGCAACAAATTGTCTTACTCACATTTTAGAAGGTTATAACTAAAGTTCTAGATGCTGGCTTTGCTGATGTTAGCCAGAACTACTTAAACTTAACCTGATTTTCTGTTTTAAATTCCTTAGCCATGATTATGCTTTTCCTATCAAACATTTGGGCCTATTGAGTCCTCCATGGCGGGATCATCAGACCAGATCCTGTGAGCCCAGTCTAGCCCCACCTGCTGGAACAGAGCCTCACATATTCATTTTCCTGGTTTTGGCTGCTTGTGTGCTTCAGCAGCAAAGGAGAATGGGCAGGACAGAGACTGGATGGCTCCCATACCCTAAAACATTTATTATCTGGCCCTTTACAAAAAACGTTGGTCAATTGCTGTTCTAAAATGCAGTACAGTAGTCCCCGCTTATCCACAGAGGATCTATTCCATGGACAGTACCAGGCCCAGTCGCCATCAGTCGGAAGATGGTTCTGTTCATGTCTTCTGCCCACAAATGTTATGCCTTTTCCATCTTAACTAAGCTTCTGTCACATACTGTGGCCCTAACTTTTGCGGTTTAAAGTATGGCAACAAGATTAGCATGAATTCTTTTTTCCTTCTTCATGATTTCACAGATAGAAAATTCATTCTTAGCCAGGCACGGTGGCTCACACTTGTAATCCCGGCACTTTGGGAGACCAAGGCAGGAAAATCACATGAGCCCAGGAGTTCTAGACCAGCCTGGGCAACATGGTGAAACCCTGTCTCTAAAAAAAAAAAAAAAAAAAAATACAAAAATTAGCCAGGTGTAGTGGTGCACACCTATGGTCCCAGCTACTTGGGAGGCTAAGGCAGGGGAATCGTTTGAGCCCGGGAGGTGGAGGTTGCAGTGAGCCGAGATTGTACCACTACATTCCAGCCTGGGCTAGACTGTGACTCCATCCCCATGCCAGCACCCCCACCAAAAATGATTAATGCTCATGGTGAGCTGCTATAGGTCTTAGCAGTCTCGCTGTAGATCTTAGCAGTCCTGCTGTACGATTTTTTTCTTAAGAGCATTCACTTTTTCACTTAAAGGACGCACTTTATGGCTCCTCTTTGGCATTTCTGAATTGCCAGCACCACTACTCTTGTGGTTTGGAATCACTATTAAATAAGGGTGACTTGAACACAAGCACTGTAATAGTGCAGCAGTTGATCCACCCCTACTCCCTCAAAAGAAAAAAAAATCTTGCTGCCTTCTGACACCTTTCAAAACTAACCTACTTATCTTTCTCCTCTTGAGTTGCACTGTGTGACTGTGTGCTGACTGGGGATGGAAATGTTCTGAACTGTCGAGTGCTGTGTTTTGTACCATAGACTTTCTCACTAGAGTCCCGTCTGGTGATTTGTTTCTTTTGCATGCCTTTCTGCTGTCCTTTCCACTGAATAATATTCTGAGTGAGAAGCTAGAGAGAATTAATGTTACAGTTGGTTTTTCCTCCCCAGATACAGGTTTGACCCCCGTCTCATGTTCAGCAATCATGGCAGTGTCAGGACCCGAAGATTTTCGAAACATCTTCTGTAGTGACCTCACACAGCCTCTTCAGTTGGATCCCTGCACGCCTCTTTCTGATGAAGTGATTGTAGTAGGTGTCTGTAGCTAGTCTTCAAGACCACACCTGGAAGAGTTTCTGGACTGGCTTTCAGTCCTGTTTGAAACAGCAACCCCATCGGCTGACTTCCTCGTGCAATGCGTTCAACTGTGAACTCTGCCTGTGTGTCAGGAGTGGCCGTCTCTGGTCTCTTCTTCAGCTGATAAGGACACTCTGAGGTATTTGTTCTCACCATATTCTTTCTGTCCTGGGGCCGCAATTCTTGATTATTCCTCATGTGGTTAAAGTCTGAATTTGTAAATCCATTCAGATAAATGGCAGTACTTTAGGACACACACTCTCCTACCTTTGGATATAGCTTGACCTAAAATCGAAGGACCTGTGTAGCATTTCACATTGAGCACTTCACTATCAAAAATACTAACATCACATGGCTTGAAGAGCAACCGTCAGAGCCGAATCACCCAAGTAAGAACAAGTACCATTGTTGATAGATAAGTAGAGATATATTTTTTATGATGTCCATCACAGTGTGGTAAGGTTGCAAATTCAAAACATGTTACCCAAGCTCTGTTCGGTTTTTTTTTTGGGGGGGGCGGGGGGAATTCTAGGCTGGTGCTGCATTGAATTAGAGCAGCAAGCTTGTGATAAAGGCCAATTCCAGGTAGCTCTTGAAGGTGATAGCCATCTACTTTCCAGTCGCTGCCAACCACAGGGAGTGCCAGTTAACACTGGAAGGACTGAGGAAAGGTCTCTTCTCTTGAGACTCCCTCTGAGGTCTGAAAAGTAAAGTGTAGGAACATCACCAGGGAAGAACTGCCAAGAGTTGGTGAAGGTTGTGTCTTCTGAAGACAGTGCTCTTGAATAGACAGGTGGAAGGGCTGTACCTGGGATAAAGGAAGGAAGTGTCTATCTAGCAGGGAGCTTGAGTTTCGGTTGCATGCATGAAGTCATTGACTCTCTCTGCATTTTTCTGTCATTCTGTTCATTTGTTTTAAGATGGAAAATTTTCTTGTAGTTGATGTGAAGTATCAACTACTTTACCCTGCCTTCTCCCTTTTAGATGGGTTCTTCCTGAGTTTTTGGAGTCTTGTGTGATTAGGGCCCCATTCAGTACTCCCCCGTCAAAATCACATCTATTTAGGTTTCTTCACTGTTGAGAACACCTAAATTTTTTTTAATTTTACTTTTTTTTTTTTTTTTTTTTTTTCAGGGAGTAGGGGTGGACAGTCTTGCTGTGTTACCCAGACTGGAGTATAGTGGGGCAATATCCGCTCAGTGCACCCTTAGCCTCCTGGGTTCAAGGGACTCTCCTGCCTCAGCCTCCTGAGTAGCTGGAATTGCAGGCACCCACCACCACACCCAGCTAATTTTTTGTATTTTCAGTAGGGACGAGGTTTCACCATGTTGGCCAGGCTAGTCTCAAACTCCTGACCTCATGATCCACCCACCTGGCCGAGAACACCTAAATTTTTAGGTTTCTTGGCTCAAAAACCAATTCCATTTCTAATGTTTTCTTCACAAGAAGGCTAATTTGTGGTGAGACAGCAGGGGAGGAGGAAGAGCTGTGGTTTATAACTTACTCAACTCAGGCGATAAGCGATTTTAGCTTTATTTGAAGTCTTCTGTCCAGCTTTAAGCACTTGATAAGACATGGCTGAAAGTAGCTTTTCTGTCAGAATTGCAGATAGTCATGTTGGGTAAACAGCCATTGGATTTATTACTTTACCTCACATGATCCCAGCAACTGTGGTGGTATCTAGGCAAGTGAAATGAACACCTCTGCTGTGAATGTTTTACAGAAGGAAATTCAAAAAAATGTTGTAACTAAAAGCAAACTACATTGTTGAATATGGGTTTTGGCTTTCTTTTTCACTTTGATTCTTAACATTATCAGTCAACTTCCACATTAATGAAAGTTGACCATAGTTATTTCCAAATAAAAAGAAACCAACTCTTACCAGGTCTTGGACTGTGATGTCATATTATTCAGTTTTATGCTGGTTCCTGAGAACAGAAGTCATAAGAGTGACACAGTCAGCTGCCGATAGCACCTCTGCCACACTGCTCTTACATTCAGTTCACTGGGTGTGCTTCAGTGGTGGGATATGGTGTGCCCCTGTCTCTACACTCTTCTAGTTTTGGTATATTTCCTATCTAGCCTTCAAACAGCTTCCAGTTTTAGTTTTTTTCTTGGACTGGCTTCATTCTGAATCTGGTAAAATTGTCTTTCATAAAGAGACCTCACTTTATAGCCTAGCAAACAGACTACAGAATGCACTGATGTTTTCATAGTATTTTTAAGGGACCCACTGCAAGAAGCTTGCTTTCTTTTATTTGTATTCATTTAGATTTTGATTTTCCATATTAAGAAGGTGAGGTCCATGTTGGTGCCCTTTGGAGTAGAGAACCATATAAACACTGGGAATCAACAGAGGCCTTAGGAATGAATAGTTTGCCTTATACAAGTTCCTGTTACAAAGCTCTCCCTCACATACAAAGTAGATGACACCTTTTGAGCATCTTTGAATTTGACATATGGTGCTGTTATTTTTTGAGATGGAGTCTTGCTGTTGTCACCCGGGCTGGAATGCAATGGAGCGATCTCAGCTCACTGCCACTTCCACCTCCTGGGTTCCAGCAGTTCTCCTGCCTCAGCCTCCCAAGTAGCTGAGACTACAGGCGCCTACCACCACGCCCAGCCAGTTTTTGTATTTTTAGTAGAGATGGGGTTTCACGATGTTGACCAGGCTGGCTGAACTCCTGACCTCAGGCGATCCACCTGCCTCGGCCTCCCAAAGTGCTGGGATTACAGGTGTGAGCCACTGCGCCTGGCCTGCAAACACATTTTAATTGACAACAAACACTAGGGCTCTTGTACAAAAAAATGATAGCCATGGAAATATCACCTTATTCTATGAGAGCTGTTCTTAAGTGTCTAAGGTTTAGTGTTCTTTTTAAAGGAAAGTTGTGCCAGGATTCATACTAAAGAAAGCAAAAGTTATTTCAACTGATCCACCAATGGAATTAGATGGGTAGAGAGTTGGGTTCTTGAGTTTTACCACCACTTAATTCCCTCTGAATTTTGTAACTTCCTGTGTTTGCATCCTCTGTTCCTTATTCTGCCCTTGCTCTGTGTCATCTCAGTCAAATATTTGACTTAGAAAGTGCCCTTCAAAAGGACCCTGTTCACTGCTGCACTTTTCAATGAATTAAAATTTATTTCCTTTCTAGTGGGAATGTGTCCTTTGTTTTAGTTCACAAGCAGTAATTTTGATAAAATGCTTTCTTCTGATACAGTTTGTTTTAATCACTCACCTAGTACTGGAAATGGGCTGTTTTCTAGACAGACCCTATAGTCTTTACCTGTATAGCTCTTATATACATGGCCCCTACTGATTGATAACCCCTGAATGAAGTACCATGTAGAAAATATATCCTGATAGACCAGGTGCAGTGGCTCACGCCTATAATCAAAGCACTTTGGGAGGCCAAGGTGGGTGGATCATGAGGTCAAGAGAGTGAGACCATCCTAGCTAACACAGTAAAACCCCGTCTCTACTAAACACACAAAAAATTAGCCGGGCATGATGGCATACACCTGTAATCCCAGCTACTCTGGAGGCTGAGGCAGGAGGATGGCTTGATCTTGGGAGGCGGAAGTGGCAATGAGCAGAGACTCAGCCACTGCACTCCAGCCTGGGTAACAGAGTAAGACTCCATCTCAAAAAAAAAAAAAAAATCCTGATAAATCTTTATTCATTTACAGCTTTGGAGAAAAAGTCTGGTCTTGGCTTGCTTTCTAACAGACTAAGCTCACCTTCAAAGATGCTTTGCCACGTGGTCCATTGCCCAAGATGGGGAATGACTTCTTATGGGGTCAGCAAACTTCTTAAAAGGATAGACAGCCAATATCGTAAGCTTCCAGGCCATGTGGTCTCTGTCACAGTTGTTTACCTGTGCTGTTATAACACAAAAGTAGCCATAGATAATACATAAGTGAATGTGTGGCTGTGTTCCAATAACTTTATTTACAAAAACAAGGACATAATTTGCCAACCCCTAGACCTTGTAGGTTGCCTCATATCTTGGCAGTTCTGAAGACCACATAGAAAAGTGTTAGACATAAAATTGTCAGATTACTATCAGAAAAACAGGTGATTTGGTCCAGGGGCAATGGCTCATGCCTTTAATCTCAGCACTTTGAGAGGCCGAGGCAGGAAGAATGCTTGATCTCTGGAGTTCAAGACCAGCCTGGGCAACATAGCAAGACTGTCACTATTAAAAGTATTTAAATTTTAAAAATGAAAAGCAGGTGACTTGGCTATATCACAATTTTAAGGTTATTTATCATGGCCTGGGATTTATACCCTTCTTGCAAGCTAATTAAGTAGGTCTGTTATTTCATGAGACTCCTGGGATAAAGACAAAGGACTTGATTACAGCACAGCAAGCCCTACAGGTACAATGCAGAGGGCCCAGACGGATGCCTGCACATGCAGTGGGTTTTAGAGGAAAAAGAATGTTAGGCTTGGGGGGCCTTCGTCTAGGCTGGAGTGAAGTGGTGCGATCTCAGCTCACTGCAACCTCTGCCTCCCAGGTTCAAGCAATTCTCATGCCTCAGCCTCCTGAGTAGTTGGGATTGCAAGTACACACAACCACACCTGGCTAATTTTTGTATTTTTAATAAAGACAGAGCTTCACCATGTTGGCCAGGCAGGTCTGAAACTCCTGACCTGAAGCGAGCTGCCTGCCTCAGCCTCAGCCTCCCTAAGTGCTGGAGGTATGAGCCACTGCACCCGGCCGAGCCTGCTGTGTTATAGCAAGCACTAAGTGAGGCTGCTGTTTGTTCCAGAAGAAGACATTAACTTATCCCTGAAGCTGCTCACTACAGACAAGCCTAAGGAATGGCCAGCATAAAAAGTGATCAGGAGGCCGGACATCGTGACTCATGCCTGTAATTCCAGCACTTTGGGAGGCTGAGGTAGGCAGATCACCTGAGGTCAGGAGTTCAAGACCAGCCTGGGCAACTTGGTGAAACCCCATCTCTACTAAAAATACAAAAATTAGCTGGGCATGGTGGTGCATACCTGTAATCTCAGCTACTTGGGAGGCTGACGCAGGAGAAGCACTTGAAACCAGGAGGTGGAGGTTGTAGTAAGCCAAGATCACACCATTGCCCTCCAGCCTGGGTGACAAGAGTGAAACTCGAATATCTCAAAAACAAAAAACCACAGGACCTTGCATTCTTGGCGTACAAAGCAAGGAGCTGCAAGCATGCTTGGGGTTCACAGTGGATTGCCTCTCCCAACAGCTGTCAGCTGTTCAGTAGCAGGGGATCACCTGGCTGGATGTTTCTCCTTCCTCTTCCAGAAAGGCTAGAATGCTAGATCAGGCCAATTATAGCAATTGTAGACCTAAATGCTTAAGTAAGATTTTCTTTTTAACCTGGGACCTAAGACCAAGAAACCTGAGAGAAGTGGGCGCTGGGCTTCCAGATTTCAAGAGAAGATATCAAGACCCGATGGAAAGGGAAAGGATAACATTAGGTGAGGCATCAGGTCAGACTTCGTTTTGAGCCACCTCCTCTGGCCTTTGTCTAAGTACTAGAGAAAGGTGGTACAGAAAGGAGAGCCCCTGTGATCACTGTCCAAATATTAATAGAAAACCAAGATGGTACAGAACACCCATAAAATCACTAAGTTACCATCCTAAACATAGGGAATTTGATTACATCACAGTCATACCATCAGCAAGGAGAAGGAGAATCTTCACTTGCAGAGACTCAGAGTGAAGAGAAATACAGACTCCATTAGATCAATTTTTTTGTAACTTATCCCAACTATTCCCACTGAAACTGGACCCCGCCCTGTAGAACCAAATTCCCTACAGAAGTAGTGTTTGTTTCATCTTCTTAATCTACCCCCAGTGGATTTATTTTTTGAGACAGGGTCTCGCTCTGTTGCCCAGGCTTGATGCAGTGGCCCTATCGGCTCACCACAACGCCGTCTCCCAGGCTTAACTGATCCTCCCATCTCAGCCTCCCAAGTAGCTGAGACTATGGGCAGATAACACCATGCCCAGGTAATTTTTGTATTTCTTGTAGAGATGGGAATTTGCCATGTTGCCCAGATGGTCTTGAACTCCTGGCTCAAGGGATCCACCTGCATTGGTCTCCTAAAATGCTGGGATATAAGGCATGAACCAC